TACTGTTCTGTTTCCGACAAGCGGCGTTGAAAGCTTTTGGCTCCTACCAAGCAACGTCTAAATTTCCAAAAATGATTTTCCCCAATAGAAAGACTTGACAAATGGTATCTGTTCTAGATTCTGGACATACTGGCCTGGAAGGCAATGGGGCTGACGATCCTCTTGCAAAGAAAGGTGCTACAAGCAGCTCCATCGGACCAGAACCTGCCATTGATATCGCTTCAGGCGATGCCAAACAAATATTGAACACTTGGATGGCCAGAAGATTTATAGACTTCTGGCAAATTCTTTTAGGATTGGCTCACTCCAAAGCATTCCTTCACACTTTGGAGCTTGAAACCAAACTGTTGTTGAACTACAATAGGGATGAACTACGATGTCTAACAGGCCTTCTCGTAGGTCACTGTTGTCTGAATCATCATATACAGAAACTCGACCTGTCGAAAGGCTCGCCTATGTTTGGAAAATGATGGAACAGCAGATCACATTATTTGTGCCTGCCTTGCTCCGGACCGAATCAGGTTCTCAGAGTTTGGCAGAACTGCACTTCAACTATCTGACCTGAAAAATCACTGACCATTTGAACTAATCGGCTCCGTTGAGGAGCTGGGTTTATTTGGTCGCATTTGAATAGGCGTGAGCCACATAAACCCTTGCGGGTTGTGGTGGAGAGTTGAATCGACCCACTCACTTTTGACCCAACCTAACCTAGGTTACTTCAGGTTTGAGTGGGATTAATCTCAGCGACCAATGTTTGGGAATGTTTAGGTACGGCTTTATTTTCTGATTGTTTTCCGATCTCACAACTTGATTTAGCCAAAAAAAAATCTCACACTTGATGGTATTCATATTTTCGATTCCCCCATCTGGAAATGAGACAAAAGGTGTGTTTGTGACAATTCTCGACACAGTTAGGTACATTCAAGTCTGAGGAAAAAATCCAACTGAGGATACTCTGTAAAAACACACTTTTGTCTATTTTCCATGATAGTTTTATGTTTGTTGACTAGTTTCAGTCATTACACCATTTTCAGTTATGACCACATACTGTTTCATTCATTCATGAGGAATCCGAGAATTTGATCAATTATGAAATCGGTTTTGAAGAAATGAAGTACATTTTTAACAATGTTTTGAATTCTATTTCGAAAATAACCTCATCCCTTTTTTGTTGTAAAAATATATCTACTTATGTCACCACCTTCGTTGTAACTCACAAATGTTTGTAATATAATCAAAACTTCGAAAAACGTGACACTGCATGTCAAAAACTACAGAAAAAGTACTCACCTGAGAATATACTGGCGATGGCTGCTATAATAAAACTTATAATTACTCCTGGGCCAGCAACTTTTTTCGCCACCATTCCTGCTACGAGATACATTCCTGTTCCGACGCAGCTGCCGACGCCTAGGGATGTCAAATCCAACGTTGTTAGACATTTCTGGAACAATTTAAGTCTGTTATGAAACAAGATCGATCCTGTGGAATTGCAGGCAGAAGACGTTCATTGGGACATGTGAAAGTTGAGGGCGGTGCAGTGAGAGTTATGTATTTTTTGATCTCACACAGAAAATATTTTAGTAAACAACGCAACTTTCGAATTCTAGGCTCCAGATGCCTAGATCTTCAAATCGATTGTGATTTTGAATTTCACAAGTACATAGACAATCCGGATCAGTCTCAAACCAGTTAGGTTACGCAGCAAAGAAATCAGTGTATGTCTCAATTCTTGATAGACTCACATCTGTAACTGTAGAGTAGGGAGGGTGACTGTAGGATCACATGTGATCCATAGTACATCCTCCCGAAGAGTTGTCCTCCTAGGTCCATCGTCCTAGTAACCTGCCATGGGCAGGTTACTAGGAGACATCCTTTATATCAGCAGGTGTAGGCCAAAACTCCCTCGCCAAACACACACTCACTCATTGACGATAACTTCGGACACTCGCATAGGACATGCATGACAGTTTTATCTTCCTGTTTACACATCCTGCATAGAGGTGTGTTCACTAGCCCCATATTATGGAGGTATTTCCTTAGTTGACAGTGGCCAGTCAGATATCCTACTGTTAAGCGTAGATTTTTCCTGGTCATCGCCAGATGTTTCTGCGGCGCCAGCTTCCGAGGGTCGCTCAGGGTGATCCAGGCAAGATCCATACCATATCTTTAGGGATTGAGCATGTGTGTGACGTTTGGCTTGTTCGGAAATTGTCGAAGTCATCAGGCCGTAGGTATCACTGAATAGACTCACATCATTGTGACCCATTTTTTTGGAGTATTCCTTCACCTTGATACCATTTCTTCCTAGATGTTCAGAAGCGACATTCTGCAAGTAATTGAGTTGAAAATGCGTGGGTATTTTGAACCCAAGGTCAATACTATGAACTCGATAATAATCAGACTCTTGCTTCGATCACATAATGATGAGCTATTGCGATAACTCACCTGACACTATCTGTTGAGCTCAAGAATTTTTTTATAATCTTGATTCATCAGTGGATCTCATGGAACCCTGGTTGATTACCTGCAATGTTACTAAACATTCTGAACAAAAGTCGTTTTGTTGCCGAAATCTGAGTTTTTTATTGAACTCACTGGAAAGTTTGACGTTCCACACCCTGGAAAAAAAATGTTGGAAAGTGAAGAACTTTATACAGATAACGAAGGTAAAAACTCTCAGATAGTTCAATATTAAAGCCATTCACTATTTAGTGAAAATTAGACACTTAAATCAATAATATAATGCAATTCATAATGGTTACTGTTTAGAAAACACTCAGATGTTTGGTAGTTATGAATTTATGATCAAAAACACTCAACGCCTACTAGATACGAAATTTCAATGTATTTAATTTTGAGTGATATATACTTCTATACCCTACTAATATTATAAATGTGAAAGTTTGTGAGGATGGATGTATGTATGTTTGTGGCTCTTTCACGCCTAAACGACTGAAACGGATTTAGATGAAACTTCACATAAATACAGCTTATACAACTGAACTAAACATAACTCAACTAACGTATTCAAAAAACACTTCATTGTGAGATTTTCACTAAACGATTTTACAAAAACGCAACACGTCTTTCTAATATTCTACATATTCAATGCTTAATATACCTTATTCTACAATTTGAAGTACCCCAATTTCAAGTATCTGATTTTCACCTAAGCTTCTAATGAATTAAATTACCTGAGATAATGTCCCAGTTTCCACAGGCCCTGTTTCCCGAAGCCCCGATACATCCGGAACGAACACTCCCCACACCGTGGGTCCCGAGAATCATGTGCTCGGAGCAAGCGCAGTGAGCCAAGAATGACAGCCTTCTGTATCTGTCCGGCTGTGGTTTCTGCCTTAGTGCGGCAATGCGGCAAGCCGTATGATTTTAGGAACTCCAATAATCAGAACAACTATCTTAACATAGCGGACGGAGTCTGCGGAATTCGAAAAGAAAATCTCGATATTTTACCCGTTAATCCTCCTCTTTTCAGACAATATTCGTATCGCCAGGAGCTGGAAACTACACGACAAATAGTGTCTTGCTCTGGTAGTCGAGAAGGACTACATCAGGCTTATTAGCTCGTATGAGTCTGAAGGTGGAGAACGAATAGTTCTGATAAATTCGGCACTTTTCGTTCCACACATCGGATTCAAAATCCTCTGGAGCGCAGGACAACACCGGTGTCTCGTCGTAAGAGTGCCGTAGATGTTAATGAAACACATTATGTCGATGGATATAAACCGAGACTGCATATGCTGGCTTTGCTGACAGAAAGTGTTTTAGGGTCTCGGACACCTCGCGACAGTCCCTGCATCTTGTGTCAGGAACCTCTATACCCATCATGCGAGTACGGTAGACTAAGGTGTTGAAGACATCATCCTGGAATGCCATGATGAATCCCTCAGTTTCCGACTTCAGCCCACTCAACCTGAGGAAAGCGAAAGTCAGGCGCTTTGAAAAGCCAAGGTCTTCTATGTTATTGAAAAAGACCCCATGCATTGGCACATCGTTGTCTTGCCGCAGAAGTGAGGTGATCCCTGCGGCTTTTGTATGAGCCTTTTGCTGAACGGGTTCCAACTCGGTGACTAAACCGAGTTCATTAGCTGCTCGGGCAGTGAACGCCGTTTACTTTCAGTTCCTGGGGCAGTTCAATTCTGTACAGGTGCAGGCTCAAGTGACGACGCAAAATTCGCCAAGTTGTGGTCTGCGAAAGTTGAGGTCTTGCGAGCAACAGGAAATCGACTGCTTCGGATTCTCCTGCACACTTTCACAGACAGTGGATTTGTTTTCGACGTATCTTGCGTTTTGTCGTGGTACGAGTGTTGGACTATTGTTTACTGAACCAGTGGACTCAAATTTATCCACCACATAGCCTCTTGGTAGAACGGTTATGGGCGAAGCACGCGGTAGGTTGCCTGAACAGAATGCCCATTTTGATGAAAAACAATTTAATCATTCGCAAGTGTTGTTTAATGCTATATCCTTTCATGATTTGGCTAAACAAATTGAATAAATGATAACTGGCCGTTATCAATTGTTAAAGATCGGAAGTCCCTGTTGGGAGACCCGTTACATGACACAACCACCAAACGACGATTACTGTTTATTCAAATACAATTATGAAAATTGATACAAATTACGAAAGATATGATTAAAAATGATCTATCTCCCTCCTTTGATAGAATTTTTTTACTACTGTGTTTCCATACTTTGCTCATAAATGATCTGGAAGTAATTGACACATAATTTAGGTACGTGTAATGAAAACTGAAACAAAATCAATAAATCGGATTCAATGAATGAAATCTAGAAAAAAAAAACAATTTTACAGAAATATATTCGAAAACTAGTGCCTACTAAAATAAAAGGTAACCAAAATATTATCTCTGTATGAACCTCTTTGTATTATTTTAGAAACATTTCAGAACTTTATGAACCAGATAGAATGAAATAAGTAACTAATGTTTGTCTGGTGGGCGTATCTAAACCCAAATCAAACTGACTTCAGAACTGTCACTATCAGTCATTGTCAGTCTGTGATACTACTTTTATGAATAAGTTACACAATTTTTCCTTCGTAGGGGAGTTTCCGATGTTCGAATCACCTGAGGATAATGGAAATTTGAGTTTCATCAAATGTGAGTACTCGTACAGTTTATATCTCAGAGCTATTCCTAGCTACTATAGTTTTTGAAATCTACCACTGAAAAAATTCTAGAGGAAGCTGCTCATACGACATAAAATGAGATATATTTAGTAACTCCGTTAATTACAAATACTTTGTTTCTCGTCAGTGATAGAGTTGAAAATTTGACCGAATTTTTTTCACCCCAAATAACAGTCATGATAGATGGTGGTCTTTGGGGTGATCACCCCTGAATGAGATATCTATCTATTCTTGTAGTATACACTGTTAAAATCCTATTGTTTCTTCAATTCTTCGATATAAAATTTCAGCCAACTGAAAATCTCATGATTGTATCATTTATTGAAACTTATTGTCTGCAAACAAGGATGAGAGAACAATAATCAGTTCCATAGGAATGAATATCAAGAATGTCTCAATTTTCTTCACATTTGCTACAGAGTACGATGGTGATTGACATTTTGCGAAACATTATAAAATCTTTCAGAAATAAACACTTCTTCGATCAGTTTTGAATAATAACAAAATAAAAGCATGTTGAATTTTTAAATTAACGTGATATATAGGTAACTCTTTCACTTCTATTTCGCAACCTACAAGCTTATTCCATGCAGATTCGCCTTCCAGACGAAAGTGATTGCAATCCTTGTAATATACGAGAAACAATAATGAAGTGAGTGGATATATAGTTAACCTTTTCTGCAATTATTTCGTACGGTAACAATGGGAATGTCTTGGAGAAAAGAAAGGACGGTTGAAAATCAGCTGTGGGGGTAACAAAATGACGGGTACAGAACTAGATCATAAAATGGGACAATGGAAACGAATAGTAATGAGTCCTTTAACTACGTAATACACGTGGGATTTTTTTAAAGACAACGCTTGAGAAAAAAACCAGAGAACTGCTTCAGTGAAGCAGGAATCGACTTAGAATCACTCGAGGGCTCCTCACTGGATATTTTCATCTGAAGATTCGTGAACAAAATATTGTAGCCAACGGAGACCTCAGCCGTAAACTATTTAACAATATAACATAGAAAGATTTTGCAAATGTGAGGCATGGATCACAGGGAAATAGTAATTGATAGATAACAAAAATTCGTTCATATTTCCGGGGAATCCTTCTCGGATCAATTTGATTGATATTTTGGGATTGATCGTAATAAGAGACACATGCCATAGTATATTTTCCGGCTATTTATTCTCATTCTTGTTAGCCATTTGTCATTCGTTCTAGGTATATGAAAAACTATATACCTACGATTGAAAGTAGTGAATTTTTGAGACCAATTTCTTTGTGTTACAAATATGAATAATTAGACTACAGTAAATGTGTAAACTGTGAGTCTAACTATGAGATTATATTTTCATATTAGGAAAATACGAAAAAATGTTCTCAAAGAGAAATTATACGGAGAAATATATTTCTGAACTAAGTAAAATAGTTCAAGTAATATTTTTTTACAAAGTTTCAAAGTAACCAGAGGGAACTAACGTATTGATGTGGTAATGGATACGAAAGAGAATGTGACGTATTCCATATCAATAGACTTGTATTCAACCTTGAAAAAAATTGAATGAAATGATTCATGATGATAGTTTATAGATTTTTTGCTTGTTTCAACTTGGGCATTCAGTTTGAATTTTCAGTTCTATAATTTTAGGTCCTAGAAATAACCTTCGCCTATTATCACAAGAAATCTATCTCCCACCATTTGACAATTCTAGAGCTTATTATGATTTGACGGAAAACCAAGCAGGTGATGCTAATATCAATACTGAAATAATCACTTGATATATGTTTATTGTTTCAGAAATAACTACATACAGCCTGAAATTTTTGGAAGGCTGTGAATCTAACGAAGATGTACGAAACGGTAGTTGAAATCAACATTTTTAAATCACAATACATGTTTTGGATAGAGATCAATATTACAATACTCCTTTTTTTGAAATTACTGCAATTCAAATGAGTTTTGTTCACAGGATCCATGTTGGATGAATTCAATATAAGCAATATGGATACGGAATTCATATTCCTAGGTGAGTTCGACAGAAGTTACAAAAAAGACAATTTCCGAAACAGCTCCTTGAGAAATGATGAATATCATTGAAATGAACAAGAACTTGAAAAATGTACTACGTGTTTCCCTTTCCATTCAAAATTCATCTAAACTGTTCTAACTTTAATAAAAAACGAAAATTTTGTTACATTGTATTTTTTTCAGAGAATTTCAATGAAGATCTACAAAGTGAATTGCCAGATATCAGTTTGCAAGACATATTTTTAGGTAAATATTTCATTGATTCTATAGTATATTGAGCCTGAATAACAGCTAGATGGCTGAGGGAGAATATTTCGTTCAGCTTTCACAACCACTACTAATACTAACTATTATTTCCATTACGTTACGATATCAATTGAGTTGTGATTCACGACTTTCAAAACGGGTTTCAAATGTATTCTCCTAACCTCCTAATTATGATCATCCAACTTTCAATTTTAGTGAATTGATGGATGTAGTTTATTGTAATTGTTTGAAAATGTCCTCGTGAGACGAAACTGCAGCAACATTAGTTACGATTAAAAGTGGTAAAAAACATAAAAAGTTTCAAATTGAAAAGGTATATTTTTTGGAAAGATTAACTTTTGAGAAAGAAAGTTTTTGGCCTTCTACTTCTTTGCATGATCTAAACATCATCGTATCGAGTTGATTTTTGAAATTGAATTCTTCATTTCTTTCTTTGAAAGATTTCCACATTGAGGTGACAGTGTTCCATGCAAGTAAAATTTCACTTCTTTCATTAGTTATATTGTGTAGGAATCCCGTGAATGATATCTGATTCGATTCCATATGAATGTTTGAAATACAAACGGAAGGGAGAAAAGAGGTTTTTGTATAATTCAGCGTTCATATGAAAGTATTTGTTTCGAAAGTATTTCCCTTTCGTGTAATTCAATGTTTATATGGAAAAAGCTGGTTCGGAAGGGTTCTTTCTTCCAGTTTGTTTCTGAAAGTTACTTCTTTGCATGATCTACTCATCTTTGTGGAGAGTTAATTTTTGAAATTGATTGCTTCCTTCCTTTTTTTGAAATATTTCCACATTTTTTCTACCAAGGTGGACAAGTAGAAGGCCAAAGACTTTCTTTCCCATAGGAAGTTTCATTTCTCATCTTCCAATTTCAGCCATTATTCTTAATTTTTGTTAATAACATTCTCTGTTCTGAAGATTTCAGAAGGAAGGATTTTTTTTTGAGTTATTTAAAACGTCTTCGGTGTATCATTTTGTTTGCTTTCTTCATTTTTATTTGGCAAGTATTTCAGTTTTTGTAATACTGAAATAATAGTTTTTCCATAAATTTTTTCATCATTATTCATAATGATGTGATGTATTGTATTTCAGATCCTCAAGTGATGAATAGCAGTGACAATTACCAAGAAAAAACCAGCAAATCTGATTTTTCGTTCACTGAGAACGATATTATGAATTTGTATTATCTGAATGAGAATCCAGTGAGAGAAAAGAAAACCAGGAATCCAAAAATTGGCAAAGAAAATAAGAATACTAGAAAGAAGAGACATTTGTTACATTGATTAAGACCAATAATTTTTTTTCCTTCATTATTCCTTATAATTCAAAATGTGTCTGTTGAAGTGACAATAAGAATGAAGAGATTCAAATCAATTCAACTCAATTCAATTCTTTTATTACCTTTTGTGTCATGAAAAAAGATGAAAGTTTCGTCAATACAGAAATAGATAAAAATAGATTGAAAAAATACTCATAGTTATTATTATTAAATTAACGTCTTCATCCAATTGCTTGTCCTCATGTGATAATGTAATAACTAATTGCTAATTACATAGCAAGAGCATGTAAATAGCGAAAGATGCTTGATGTAGTTTTTTCCACATAGAGTTGATGTGTTCAGACCGTATCAGAAGAGTATCAAACGAATATACTCGAAGTGTTCGTGCTTACAGTAATTTTTCATTCCGGAAAAATTTTGCTTGAAAAATAGAAGACCTCTTTTTCATCATTTCGAAGACGCCAATGATATGTGTCAAAGTTGATATTGCGTCGACCGTCATAAGATCGCTATCTCTAACAATAAAACCTAATTCCTGAATCAAAAATACAATAAACCTGAGCCACATCTTTCATTTCCTGGATCTTCGGAACGGGTAATAAAAAGAACGAGCGCGCAGTAAAATTTGTAATTATATCAAGGAATAGAAGGTCGTCACCGGATTAGAGATGTTGCAAAAAGGAGAAGTCACTGTTACGTCCAATGAGGATGGAAGCGGAACAGATGATTTTTTTTTTAATGTTCTAGTAACTACTGAATATTTTCCTAATAGAATATTTCAATATCACCTTGAGCACTTTTTGAAATGATACATCCACAACTACCATAAATAAAATTGATATGAGTTTTATTATAATACAGTCATGGAAAAGAAAATTAACGAAGGTGACAAGCTTACAATAATAATAATGACAGTAGTCATTACAATAATGATTCTTGTTTCACAGGAATACACAGACAATTACAAAATATTAACATAACATATAAGTAGGTACTTGTGATGCCCCCTTTGGTGTGGTAATGAATATTACTGGAGATTTTCCCAACAACAAACCATTATTTCAACACCTCCACACGTGTTTCGATCACCAAGTGATCATCTTCAAGAGAAACATCAAACTGATCTTTCTCTTGAAGTACTTCAAGAAATTTTAAAAAGAGAATACGTGAACATAAAAGAGTTTTTACTGAAGAAGACCAATTCCGCCTATACGTATCACCTCATGGAGAACGAGCACGATTTCAACACTATCTACGACATTCTCCATACAGAAAATGAAGGACATAAATTGAAACTGCTGGAGTCTCTGAAAATCAATGAGGGCAAACATTCAAATTCCTTATTGAATGATCATCAAGAGGTTAACCAATCACTATTGTCAAACCTTTTGTCATAATGTCAATAATCATTCATATTTAAAATTCACCTGTTGTTCAATAACTGAGATTGTAATTGTTTGTTGAATTCTATTTGTTGTCTCAATTACCAATAGCAATATGAGAATTGTAGGCCAGAGTGTATTTTAATTACCGATGAAGCTACGGTGTTAGTCTCCAATAATACGGGATAATGGACGTTTAATCCTCGGTACAATAAACGCCCAGGGCCTCAGCAGAAAAAGACAACACACTAAGGCTCTCCTCCACATACAAGAAATCCAAATTCTGTGTATTACCGACACACTCACCAAAAACCCCCCAAATATCACCGGTTTCAACACCACACACCGACCAAAAGACTTACACTCACGAAGCATCGCTATATTAACTAAACGAGGACTAGCCTACAAAAAACACAACCTTCTAATTACCCTGTCCGAACTCGACTGCCTGGCAATCGACCTACTCTCCAACTCCGGCAACATAACCATCATAGCCTATTACAACCATCCAACTCAATCCGTTTCCAGAGAGTTAATCGAATATACATCCTCTCTCCCAAAAGTATTTCTAATAGGAGATTTCAACTCCAGACATACACAATTCGGAGATTCTACCTCCAACGCCAACGGCCGCCTTCTAGCCAACCTTATACTCGAACACAATATCTATAGAATTCCCTGTCCTGACCCGACGTTCTTGAGCCACCGTGGGGCATCCATCATCGACCACATCTTGTGCTCTGAGAGTCTGATAGAGGAGGTCGATGATGTTGCCTTTTTCGATGACACTATTACGTCGGATCATCTCCCCATCATCGTCAAAACTTTCCTAAATTTCCCTATTCCCTCAAGTCCTAAAACCATCTCTTATAAAAATCATAAATTCACAGATGTCAAACGCTTCCACTCCCTCATCAATCAAAAACTCTCTTCTCTTAACAATCCTCCACTTAACCATCCCCGACAAATTGATGCTCAAATCAACTCAATACAAAAAATTATTTCTAAATCAGACGACTTATCCACCCCTACAACTACTAGACTAATCGATCAATCCCCACTTCCTCCTTATCTCATAACTCCCATCAAAAGCAAGCGCAAACTCTACAGAACTTTCGTCCGAACCAGAGATCCAATCCTAAAAACCGAGTGGAACCGTCTTAACGCTCGCATTCGTCTCCTCATCAACCAATTCACCCAGAAAAGGTGGATGGAGGAGACTAAAAAACTCGACTACCGAGATGGAACGGCCTTCTGGAACAAATTCAAAGTCCTCACTGGACAAAAAAGGAAAACCGACAGTCACCTATCGATTGACGGTAACATCATCTCCAACCCTTCCGACAAAGCNAAAGAACCGAAACAAACACAACCCCGGCCCAAAAAACCCGTACCGAGTCCCAACATCTGGATCATTGACCACCGCAACGAACCCGGACTACCACATGGATTAACTTGAAAACAATGAAGAAAACTGGAACACAAAAACAACACAACACAAACATCAACACAAAACACAACACACACGCAACTCACTCACCCTGAAGAGGCATAAGCCTATAGCAGGGTCCTACAAAAATACACACACACACACACAAAAATTGTAAATACCTGTAGAATTTGTAATAAACGATTTTCATTCATTCATTCTACGGTGTTAGGGAAACACGTCTACAATAAGAGACTTTTGTGAAAATATAGTCAGTGGTCATACTTGAAGTCTGTGCGAAAATTTTAACGAGGTCCAGAAAAAAAAAACAACTGATAATAATTAAGTGCTACCTGTGTATTATTTTGGTTACAAATCAATTTCTGAATTATAAAACACAAGGCCGACGATCTTGAGTTAGTTTTTTATAGCTTGGTTCTTGAGTGGAACGGCAAATTCGAAGTGTGATTTTTCGGTGGGCGTCCGTTTATTTGTTTTTCAAAAAATGTATTTTTGACAGTAATAGTATTTCTTGCAATTTTCACATTTTTCTGGGAAATGTTTGGTCCAAAATTCCTCAGTGGATACCGTTTTAGACATTTACAAAGACACATCTTCTTGCAAATCAATTATCTTTATTTGAAGTGATGGTTTTGATAAATTACTTCAAATGGCAATTTAAAAAAGGGAGAGAGCTTGCCTATTTCTGCGAAAACTTGGAATCTTGTAGCAAATTCGTTCCTACGATCGCCCAGACCTTTTACATACACTGCAATGTTTTCTTCAGAGTTCTTTTTTTATTCAAGAATTGTGGAAAAATGAGTAAATTCTTGTCTTGCAATATCTTTTTCAAAGATGTCCACCTTGGGACGAAAAGCAGATCAGATCACGTAATAATTTTATATTTTCTCATAACTCTTCGGTTCAAAAATATTATTTCAATTAATAAAGGTATAGCATACCTTATCTATGTATCAATTTATACTTGGTGTACAACACATTACAATATTTGGCGGTCCGAGGTTCGACCTTTCGCGGTCCGCAAACGGACTGCGGTCCGCCTGTTGCTGACCGTTGCCCTACACTGTAGGTTAATGGATTGTGATATATCAGAAAACAACTACTCCCCTGGCTTATACCACGAAGGGCGTTGGATTATATCTGGCAGGTGTCAGTGCAGGATTCTTCACTGTAGTTATTCCTGCATATGATGTTGGCGATACAACTGAATATATGTGAAAAGTTTTCTTTCCCCATACGAGGGATTGGGCAAATTTCGGATATACGGTTGATTACCTCCTTCACAGGCAGATGGGGCGATGACAAACCTGTCGTTTGTCGTTTCAGTCTAGTTCGAGGAATGATACTCTGAAAGAATTCAATTTTCAATTATCGGAAATCATCGACTTTATGTTGATGATAGACAGTATTGCACTGACGACTGGCCAAACAGTGCGACACCGGTCTGCAAGTGTGTTCCAATAATCAAAAATCTATTGCGGCAGTTGTATCGCCAACAGCATATACAGGAATAACTTTAGTGGAGAATCCTGCACTGACACCTGCCGGATATAATCCAACGCCCGTCATGGTATTAGCCAGGAGAGTAGTTGTTTTCTGATATTGCCAGTACATTAACCTACAATATAGGAAGTTGAGACTGGCCTGAACGAATTGTTTCTTTGAATTATTTGAAATTGTTTTTAATAATTATCATGGATAGTAATAGAGCTGGGTTTGATAGAGATAGGTTAGAATACACTTCAAGTGAAATGTCAAAAGGTCGAAAATATAATGGTGATTCTTTTTCCCAAGAAATATTGAATGTTTATGTAATGAAAAAACTGAGACAAGTTTCATAACGGAATATNTTAATTTATCGATTGATCATAAAAAATAAAAAATTTTTGAGCATTTTTTTAAAATCATTTTCTTATAAATACAAGTATTCTACTTAAAAACATACACTTATTTATTTGCATTCTATTTCCTTAGCTTCTCAATTAGTGAGGTTCAATGAATGATTTTTTTTTGTTTTCTGTCAGTTTAAGCGAATCCATCTATATAATCGTCAGATTATGAGACAGCACGTTTAAAACATTAATATGAACCATATATATCCCAATTTGACGCGCTTGAGTATTTCAAAATGGCGAATTTTTTTTGCGCATTATAATAATGACCGCGAGTTTACGTCAGATCGAAATCGTCAGATTATTGAATGAGAGCTTTTTTTCCTTCCACTTTTAACCCTCACGTACAACCACCCACATCATGCAAACGATCAAATTAAC